ATCCTGTGTATCACCCAGCACAATATCAACCAACACATTGAGCTTAAAAAATAGAAGCACTAATATCAAGGAAAAAGGACAAAATACACAAGTCAGCAGTGTAGTTTTAACTATTATAATTGTGCATTTAATAACTGATACGTCACCCTGTTACCAGTTAACTTTCAGTTGAGTGTAGGATTTCACTGGAGGAGTGTGTAACATAAAACATTGTCCGCTTAACCACAAATGATTATTACAACATCCACTCAAGTGTCCACTTTTACAGTCAGTATCTTCTAAAACAAATGTTCTTCTCTCTGCAGAGTCTGAATCAGAGGAAGAGGAAACGGACTAAAACTTCCACAACCATATTTTTTTTTTTCTTTCATTTTTTTTTTTTTTTTAAGTAGCAACAGGAGCAGTAAAATGTCTTTCTCCCCTTCTTTCTCTTCTACCTTCTGTTACTACTTTATCCTTTAAACGCACACTCTGTTCCACCACTCCAAAACATTTAAACATTAATTTAAATTTAACAAGATAAAAAGAGCTCAGTCGGTAATATGTTGAGGTATTACGCCTCACAGTGGAAGTGGGAAACGATGAATACCCCCCTTTTTTCTTTTATTTTCTACATCTTGGTATTATTATTGTTGTAATGCCTGTAATTTGGATACAAAACATTCCATGTGATCTCAATGGCTTCTTGTATGAATCTGAACCAGGATTTGTTAAATATTCTTGCCATGCAACAACGAGGCCGACAAAAAATATTAATGCGATTTTTGCCGAAGTTTTTTTTTATTTTTTTTTAAATAAATCTCCCCTTAACTTTATATTTTGCCCAGCTCATGTTTTGGCTCCTGTTGGGTCTTAAACCTCGCCTTCTCTCTTGACTTTTGGGTAAACCTGTACCACGTGTCGAGGTCGTTCTGGTCAGTCCGTCAGAAGACGCGTGCCCCCCCCACCCCTGTAAGATGCCTCGCCAGCTAACTGATTATTATTAGTTTCTACTTTCTTTAATCTGATATAAACCGATTGACTTTTTTATGAAATAAAGATTATTGAAATGCCTCGACTGTTCTGTGGGTTTTTATTTTTAAATGTGGCGTCGGTATAAAGTGCATGAAAACATTTGATAAGTAAAACCTTCTATCTTATATGAAGCTGAATTTTTTTTTTTTTTTAAGATAGCATAAAAATGAATTCTTATTAAAAACCTGTTTCTTTAGACACATTATTTAATTCTAAATTGTTATGATGGTCTCTCTATAGCATCCAGATGAATACATGTATACTCTAATGATGAAACAAGTATAATCTGTGAGAAATGTAGCCTGAACTCATTTATGCCTGGTTTTATGTATCAATTTTAACTAAGTTAAACATAATTTATATATTTCTTTTTATAGTGCAGTTTTTAATAAATTTTTGGCATCAACTGGCTTCCATAGTATTTAACTTACTAGAACTGTGGAGTCTAAAGTGGCTCAAATTTCCTGCTCAACTACTTATTTGGTTTGTCCCTTCTGGGCTACTGTAGAAACATGGCGGTTGAACGCAGCGGACTCCATGGGTGGTGACCTGCAGCGTCTGTAGATTAAAAAGAGCTCATTCTAAGGTAACAACATATTCTTATATTCAGGTGGTTATACATGACCAGAATAGAACTTTTCTGCCAGTAGAGGCTCGTAAATGAGTTCCCAAACAGCTTATTGGCTTAATTATCTTCTCTTACAGTAATAAATGTCCCGCTGTTTACGACATCGGAGCTTTTGCAGACAAAGAGACGATTGTTTGATGATATTCTCATTTTTTATTGTACAAAAATACATTTTTCTTCTAGCAGCTTCTCAGTATTTGCGACGTGCAAAGGACACAGTTGTCAGGTTATTCAAGTACATTTTTATACAGTCAATGTTACACATTAGATTTAGAGGTAGGCCTTCATATTTAAAACAGGTTTGAGGTAGTGTGCAACATTTCCCAGTGATAGTTTTCATCCATATGTGCTGTATATAATAAATAATCAAGGGATCCAGTTGATTGTAAAAGGATTACATTTAGATATTATCCCAAATTGGTGCAAAGGGCATGCAGATAATGCACTCTGCATGCCAGGACATCCCACAGTCTAATGCACACAAAACCTCGCAATTTTGTGTTTTTAAAGTGATAGAGCTTGTGCAACAATGCAAAAGTAAACATTTGACCACACTGCAAATATATTTATCCTAACATTTCATCAGGCCAAAATAAAAAAACTTTTTGACCAACAGCTGAAAGATAGAAAGGGGTTTAGCTTAAGTATTATTTCGCTCAGGTTTGCAACTGGATCTTGGGAACAAATCATTTCTGGGAAAAGCTTTGAGGCTAAACGGCATCGCTGGAGCTTAAATCTTGTTTTTGTACCCAGTTTTGAAATCCCAGATGTCTGATTTCGACCTATCAGACTCAGATTAATGTTGTCAAAATCCAATCAAATGACCCTGATCCCAAACTTATACAACAAATAGAAACATAACCTTCTTGGTTGAGGAGGAAAATAGATTTTTCTTAGGATTTTAAGGCTCAATATATAAAGTTGTTTTTAGATCATTTTAGAGCAGATTAAATATACATCCTTCCTGCCTGTGAGTGTCAAGTATTTGCTGCTGTAGAAAGTTCCCCCCCTTGCCGGATTAAAACGGACGTCTCTCGCTTACACATGAAAAAAAACGTCAAGTATGAAGATTGAATAGATTTTTTTTTGACTTTGTCCTTTGCAGGATGTGATTGTTTGCAAAGTGAGGAGGCAAAACTAATGCTGTTATCTGTAGGGGACTCAAAGAGGGCACCATTTTTACATATAGCTACATGAAATATCCCCCTCAGTTGATCCGAAATAACTTCAATAAAAATAACTTAAAATAAAACTTAAAATAAGCATCATCTCCCTGATTTTGTCAAAGCCCGAAAAATCTCCTAATATATCCTCCACATGCTTATAATATACTGAAACTTGTTAAAGAGGATATTTGGGGATTTGAGGGGCTCCTGGCTTCATTTATATTGCTCCAGTCCAGTCTAATAGATCCATAAAAGTTCTGGATACTTGCAAATGTTTTGCTCAAGTTTAAAATTGTTGAACTTTACATCAAATAACGACACTCAGGTCAAATTTGCGTGTTTGTCTGAACACACTTTGACCCCAGTGTGTAGGATTCAGCGACATCTAGTGTTGAAGTTGCAGATTGCGACGTGCGTATAGGGGAAACTATGTTGGGGCCCACCATAGTTTCCCCTATGGTGAGCCAGTGTTTGGTTTGTCCATTCTGGGCTACTGTAGGAACATGGTGGCTCAACATGGCGGCTCAACAGAGGACTCGCCTCCTCTGATAAAAACAGCTCAACAATTCTTATTTTTAGGAGATTATACGCTAATAAAAACATACCTATGGACATTATATTCAATGTCTGCCAGTAGATGTTCCTAAATGTTACACACCGGACCTTTAATGAAGTCACAACAGTGTGGCTGAACCTGACGAAAACACAAACTTTTAGTTTTGTCATTTTAGAGCAAATGATACAAGATGTAGGGATCGGTTTCCACCGTTCACCACTACATCAGAGGTTATAGATCAGTTAGTGCGCCTTTAAAGTGCCCCTGCACAGTTTAGATATTTCTGACAGCACCTGAAAGCAGCCTTAATGTAGTATAAGTGTGTCCAGAATGAGGTTTCTATTAACTTTAATAATTGATTGTTTGTCTGTGTAACATCTGTCCAGGGACTACAGATGAAGACACTTTTATTTATTAATGTGCACTGTCCCTGCTCAATAAACCAACAAACAAACAAACAAACAAAACGCCACTCAACTGACAGCAACCGCTGCGATAGCTGCTCTTCAGTTTCCTCCATGTGACTGAAGGCGGACATCGGGTGGTGGCTTGGGGGTTGGGGGGGTAGTTTATACTATTCGTGGGACCAAAATAGCCACCCGTCAGGTGCGACTTTACACATGGGCTCAGGTTACAGCTCAACCAAAACACAGAAGGTTCAGAAGCACACGGACGTGAACAGAAAGTGCTTTTCAGTGTTGATTTTGTTTTTCTAGTCTAATCCAACAAAAATAAATACATTCATTTATATATGTACAAAGTCCTACAGGTGTAATTCCTACGCCATGTGTCTGCATGTAAACAACATCAAGGTGGACTCCTCGGCGGTCCAAGGCCGCTTTGCTTCACACAGCAGCTGAGTGCTTCCCCCCATCTCTGAGCTGTGGAGGCAAAGAAATGGTCTTTTTTTACCACAAGCACAGTTCAGTGAAGGCACCATGACATGGATCCTAAAAACACTTATCTTAACCCTTCATTTCAGTTATTTATTGGTTTATTTTAATGGAATAACATAAACTTATTATTTCACTTTTAGGTGTTGTATTTAGTAAAAACAATGACTGCACCTAAAGGAAGAAAGGGACTTTAAATTTAAGAAATTTCACCTCTATTTGTGTTAGAAATAAATTATATCTCATCAAACTACCCATTTTACTTCTTTTATTTACTTTAATTCTATGACTTTATGGATCGCATACATGTTTGCAGAGCACCAGATAAAGTGCTCAAGTTTACGCAGCTATAATATGGAAATACAGTTTAAAACGTTATAGTGACATAATATTACTAATCGTGTGCCAGTTTCTATTTATTTATAACTTCAAGATGTCTAGCCAAACACTATTGACTACTGTAAACACACCTAACCCACCACTACTCAAGTGTAACTCATTTTAATGGGTTAATATTGAAATATATCTATTTACATTTTGAATATTTACAGCTTTTTTAGTTTCTTTCTCTTCATTTTATAGTCACATTTTTCATCTACAGCACTCCAAATCCCAATTCTTAGTTTTATCTGTATGAATACAATAAATGACCTGCTTATTTATTATTAATTATAACCACATGTGCTGTCTGTCCTCCTTTAACAAACCATATTAATCCATTACTTTTGGAGCGTGCCAGACTTTGGCCCTAAATCTGTTCTCTGGAGATCCAACAGGATCCAGTACCTGCACTTATTTTAAACCTTTGAAGGCACCACAGCTTGTTTTCATTTCGTGCTGTCAGTCACAGCAGCAACAGGTGCCACTCTGGTCAAACTCAGATCACCTCTGAACCATGCAACCTCAGCGGGATCACTCTTATTCCAACATAAAGAGGATGCGGCCTGCACAGCTGGCATCATCTGGGAGTGCATGACATAGCAATGAGCCCTTTTTGTATTTTTTTATAGGTGGAAATGTCCGCTCACCTGTTTCCTCTGGTTGCCGAGGCAGAAAGTGCAGATGGGCCGCAGGGAGGGGGCGCCGTGGAGGATCCTCTGGTAGCGGAGACAGGGCTGTCCGTCCCGGCAGTCGTCCCCCAGCAGCAGCACGTTGGCCAGGTGGGAGATGTAGCTGGAGGCCAGGCGCAGCGTCTCTATCTTGGAGAGCTTCCTGTCGGCGGGCTCGGTGGGAATGAGCGTGCGGAGCGCCGTGAAGGCCGTGTTCACGCTGTGCGTCCTGTCCCGCTCCCGCGCGTTGGCCGCCTGCCGCTGTTGGCTCAAGCCGGGGATACGCGCGTCTCCGCCGCCTCTTCCACCTCCGCCGCTGCCGCGTCTCCGCCGCCTCCTGCGCCTCCGCGCACCGGCCCGGGAGCCACCGGCCGCAGCCACCTCCTCCGGCTCCATG